TTTATCTGAAATTAATTCACTGTGGGATTTAATTTATCTTAATATAAAATGCCGTGATAGCTCAGTGTCCGGGCGCTCGCCTTTAATTCAATATACTCGAGCAACCTGAGTTCGATCCCCGGTGCCGGCACCAATGAAGTTTTTAACTTTAAGTGCTGACTTATCACGTGCTCCGCGGTGAAGGAAAACATCGTGAGGAAACCTGCATATTTTCGAAATAATAACAAAAAAAATATTTCCAAGATATGTAGAAGTCCGCAGTGGGGCCGCGTGGTGGACTATGCCCTGATACCCTCTGTATAGAGGAGGCCTTTGCCCAACAGTGGGACATGTATAGCTGTTACTTTACTTTACTTTTTAATATAAAATGACTGTATGAAAGGATTACTAAGAGTATGCACCAACAGAAAAATCGGTTTCAAAATCATTCAAATATTTGCCCGGAGCGAGAATCAAACCACCAATCAAGCAAGCAAGCAAACAAATCAGAAACAGCTTCAACGGCGACTCGAAATTCATTAGATTAAGTTCTAACCTCGATATATACCGTCTTGTTACCGTGAAATTGTTAATTGTGTTTCTAACCGCAATAATGTTATCTCGCGGCTTGTTCCAACATCGGAATCCTTGAGGGTTGCGGTTCGAAGACGTCTCCAGTCCACTCCCTCGGGACCTCGTTACGGAGTCTTAATTACGTACACCTATCTGACTCCGGCGAAGAGTTATTTGCTGCGACACACTTAGCACCTTGTCGCTTTGAATTTATCACAGACCGCTTACAATCCGGTCGCGGTTACGCGGCGAACTTAGATAGATAAGGGATCGGGGGAGGATCTCGAGTTTCCTTGTAAACAGGGGAGATATTGTTTAATTTATTTCGGCGACGTCTTCTGCCTCGGTTCGGTTTGTCGACGGGTTAATTTGAGACGTTTGCGACTGCTACCAATTGGAATGGTCTAAGATCGTGTAATAATAATATATCGGTGAAACAGTAATTTTGGAAGTTTACTGACAAACCGACCGTTTTACTTCGCTTGCATGATATATAAATTTTAAAATATAATGTGCACTAAAATGTATGCCATATCGAAAGTATATCCTTGTTACGCTCAAGAAATAGATTATCATCCTACTTTTAATATAGTCTGTCTATCTGTCTACAGAGTAAATGTTAGACTGTGGTATTTGATATTATTAAACGACTTCAAAAAAGGAGGTCATATGTTCGACTGTACGTATTTTTTTTAATGTATTTTCATTTTTTTTAATGTATGTTCATTGATTTCTCCCCCATTTGTAGAGCGATTCTCAAAATTCCTTTTTTATACATACCCATACAAATATGACGTAACCTTACTCACATTGTCTTCTGTTTTGAAGGTATAATGTTATGTGCTTTTCTTACAAAAATCCTGTTCACTTCTTATAGCCAAAAAGCTACTGAGTTTTCTACGTATATGTTTATATGTTATGTTCCTTTGTTAGGAACAGAGTTTATCATCTCGATATACGAAGGTGCTACGCCCACAAAATCATCCAAGTTTATTACGACAAACTCCTTCGAAACGCGGCAAAAATGTAAATGGGTCGGTATTTCACTGAGGGGGGCAGACATTGTAATCAGGGGTCTATCGGACCCGCAAATAAATCAGCGTTGACCCCGACCATCCCGCTTATGCTTTATGTTTATTTAATTTCGATGGTTTATCTGGGATTTTGGGGTAAATCGCTGCGAGCCGGCGGGAGTCTGACCGAATAATTGGCTTTGATAGGCCGTTTATTTATTCATCAAATTGAATAGGTCTATTTGCATCGTTAAGGTCTTTTACTATGACATTGAGTGTTCAGTGTCCGGGAGCTCGCTTTTTAGCTAAGGAGGAGGTTCTCAATTCGATTGTATATTTTTTAATTCAATATACTCGAGGCTAAGTGCTGGCCCAATGAAATTTTAAGTGCCGATTTATCACGTTCACAGCGGTGAAGGAAGCGTGGGTAAATCTGCGTGTATTCTAAACGATAACAAAGGAAATATTTCGGAAATATATCGAGTGTGCCAATCCACAGCGGGGTTGCGTGGTGGGCTATATCCTTATGCCCTCCGTACGTAGCAGGCCTTTACCTAGAAGTAGGACATAAATAGGCTGTTACTTTGCTTTCTTTTACTTTTTACTCAGGGACAAACTTAGGGCAAGATAGTCACGTTTCGTGTTCATAAAACGACAATTTACTTTATGTGATATTAGTCCAGTATCCCGAGAGGATTCACAAACATGATAAATGACGGACACGGAGGTTATCCAGACTCGGAAAAACTATTTATGGAGGAGTAATCTTTATCTGTCAGGATCAAATCCACGATACGTCGCATAATAGCAGTCAAGGTACTCAAAACCGTTACGTCGTTTTAGTTGTTTAAATCGAATCTTTATTTCAACTTATATTCGCGTGTTTTCAGATATATCTATAAAAGCCACATTTAAGGTGACATGATAATGTTCTAAGCTGTCCGTGACTTTACCGAATTTTGTTCTCGAATTTTGTTCTAGTTCGACGTACGTGATAATAAAGTATTATTCGCAAAAGACCAGTAGGAACTTTCACATACATTTAGAACGTCGGACAAGTATCGAGCCTTTATTATTTGTATCAGTAGATACTATATTGGCAATGATGATTATGTGAGAAAAAGGCTGGCGGTTCACCTGATTTTAAATTTTAACCGCCGCTTATTGCAATACCCGTAGGGTTGCAGAGGCGTTGTCACCTTTTAAAAAAGTGGACCCCGGCTACTTCACTCATCTGACGAAACGCAGAAGTATCACACTCTCACGCCGCTCTTCTGTGAGATTGTGGTACTTCCCCGGACGGACCTGCTATTAGTGCAACAGCGAACTGCTAAGCGACCCTACCACAGTTTAAAGGACTTCACATATCTCCGAAAAATTTTTTTTTAACATTATTCCAATTTTTTCGTATATTGCTCATGGATAATATGAATGAAAAATTTATTTCAATGGAAGTAACTTTACTCAGAGATATTTCAAACCAGGAGAGAAAGCTGGAGAATAACACAGTTGCCTTACAATCGTGACTGTTATTATATACAATATTAAATTAGGCCAACCACTATGTCTCCAGTAAAGAGTAAATAAGAAGAGATTAAAATGAAAACAAATAATAATACATATATATTACATATTTTCTGCACAATACAATTTGCATTAAAGTACTTTGTCGTTTTGGGATTACATCTAGACACTTTCAGACAGATAAAAAAATTAAAAAAAAAGTAATTTATGATTAAGCTCTATAAAAGGCAGTTTTCATTTAAATTTTGATATTTATTTTTTGTGACACAGATACAGTTTATTGTAGATATTATGGAAAGCTGAACCTTTCTTCTTTATATATCGTAACTGAATTAATATCATTTAAACGATTAATAGTCATAAAAGGTCTGTAAAATTCTTGTAAGAAAATCATCACGGTTAAATATTCATAAGCATAAAGGAAACAATTAAAATAATCGAGGGTGCTATGGACAGTACCGATTGAAGGTCTGACGTCCATTGCCCAAACTCCCAAGACTAATAGAGTAGGGTGACCAGACAGCAATAAATACCGCCGTCCGTACGAAAGCAATGTTGTGGGATTACGAGCAATTGTACGGGATAATCCCCCGATTGACACCGGATTTTCGGACAAATTGTCCGCAGTTTTGGTTAATTAATGGTCACAGTAGTGGGTCGCTGCTCTAGATTGCGGACATCTGTCGCATCGGTTTCGATTGAGGTCCTAAATGATTCTTACTTGCTTCTATCATCTACGAGATCTGTTATATTTGTAGAATATTAGTCTTAAGCATTAGTGGGTTGATGTGTTCGTGAACTATTCGGGGTTACGGGTTGGGAATCAAAGTACAACTTCTTAGTTCTATATTTTATTTAAGTTTTTTAGTTAAGTGATTGTGAGTTTAGTGACTCCAAACACTTACCAAACGCTACCTAAATCAAAACCGGCTAGCTATCACTAGATTCGATACAATTGGCCAAACGAAAATGACTTGAGTGAATGTTGACAAACAGCTACCTAATTCAAAACCGGATGCCTATCTTCGGACAGACGAAATCCGAGCTCCTCGTTTTTAATAAAGAAACCTTCTCATATTAGAAGAACAGAGTCCGCGCCCTCATTCCGCTAAGTGGGAATGGACTGGCGCCATGACAGATTAGCACCGGAGCCGGCCACCTGAGCAGGCCGGGGCGAAATATGCAATAACTCAAGCGCCACCCCTCGCCCCCGCCCGGCGTAATTCACCCGGATCGCGGCCAATAAATTCGTCAGGGTGATTAGTGCGGCGGCGAGTGCTTACGCGTGTGGAGAGGGCTTGTGTACCCTCGCAGCTATTAGAATTTTTGACATACTGGAAGAAGTGCATCGTTTTATATTACGCGTAAGACCACATGCAGTTAACCCTAATGAAAGATAATGTTTCGGAATAAAACAGCAAATCTTTAAGCGACGGTAACTAAAGCTTTTGTGGTGATGAGATGAGAATATTTGAGGTTATTGACGGAAATCACTCAAAATGTACCACTTGCTACCTATCACAGAGCAGCATCTATTATGCTTGGTTGTGACGGCTTTATAAAAAAAATTACGCCTTCATAAATGTGAAACAGTGAGTGAGGAAAAAATAATAACGACTTGTAATAAGTTGATAAATTTTAGTCAATGTGACAGATGACATAGAACGTATGGTACGGAAAGAGGTTTTGTGATTTGTGAACACCAATTGGTTTTGTTTGAGTCATATCATTACGACATGATAGAATAATGTCTGTACAACAGTAAGCTATCTATTCTACATCTATAAAACAGTTTACCTATTGTTGCGAAACATTTCAAATGTTCCATTAAAAATAATAACACATTGAAATATGTATTAACTTTATTTTGTAGTCTATAGTTTATAAAGAATGTAAAATTATCTAAACTCATATTGTAGAATTCAATTTGCTATCACTTTCAGATGATTTAGTATCTAAAAGACTAATCTCTTTTTCCCCAATTTCATTACTGCTATTTAATTTGTGGTCAGTCGGTCTTGTTTCAGTTTTAACAGAGCAGATTCGGTTCTCGTGTATTTTACTAACTAATGTGTCTTTGATGGATGGTCTGGTTGGCTCTTCGTCGTCTGGTATCATTTTTATTTCACGTGCAGAAAATCTCGAACCACCACGACTCGCACCAGGATTTTTGCTTAGTTTAGTTGCATATAAAGGTTTTTCATTGCATTCCAAATTCGACATGTCTGCCTCCTGTGGGTCAATTTTTATTCCAAAATAGGGTTTCTCCACATTCGACTTTGTTCCTTTACGTGACATTATAATAGTTTTGGGTTTACTAGCTATTCTTTCACTTTGGCTGTTTTTTTCTACTGTTTTGATCTGTTTATGAGCATCATAATATTTTTCTATTTTTTCATCGTCCTCTTCATCTCTAGCCACTAGTATTCTCGTTATTTTTGTATTTATTACGGACGAAGTTTGTGTTGAATCTTTTAACACAATCGGAACTTCTTTTATATTTGCATGCTTTGATTTTTGACGCAGTATCATTGATCTTTTCACTTCAACTTTGGGACTTTCACTAATACAAACTTTTCGCTGGTCGTGCGTATTCTTGAAAAGGGTAATGGTTTTGGCAGGGGGTATCTCATCTGCACTGCAAATTCTTTTTTGTGCTATATTTCTGCTAGATGAGGTATTGATGCTAGCAACAGATACGCAGTATGGATCTATTTTAAGCAGGCCGCCACTGACTTGTTTGTCTGTATGAGGATGGGTTTTACTTGAAGAAGACTTCAATATTGGTTCCGCCGCTAGTCTCGGACCGGCACTTTTCGTAAGACGTGCCGGACTGTTGTCTATGGGGTCGTGGTGGGGGCCGGAAAGCTTATTTTTGAGTCGTGTTTTTTGCTGAAATTTCACACCGTGGTCCTCCTTTCCATGTTTCGATCTAGTTCTGACCTCGCCAAAGACACTTACACCGTTGACAGACTTTTCGTCGTATGACAAGCACACGCTCAAAAAGTTATCTTTGCTTCGTGTTCTCTTTTTGTTCCTCGAACACTTTAAGTAAAACATAGCGGGGATACACCAGCATATTTCCAGGAACAGAACTATCGTCACAAATATAACTTTTTTCGAGGCGAAACTTCCGGAGCAATTCGAAATTAACGAGTGAGTGTTGTTTGTGTGCATGTACAGACTTGTTATTTTATCGCACACATCACGCGTTTTATTTACTAAGCAGAGCACACTATCTAAACCGTAGTATAGATTTTCGTCATTCAAATGAGGCAAAACATTGTAAATAAGCCACGACTCGAATCGTTTGTCGAAGTCCGCTTCATCAGAAACACTGGCGGTCTTTGCGCAGCGTTTGGCAGCGTCGTAGTACTGGAGCAGGGCGTTGGCAGACGTGAGTGAATTTAGAGAGATGAGCGATCGTTTTCTCAATGGCAGGAACATCATAGCACCACCATTATCCCAAGTCACAGATGGTATTGGTATTTTCAATCCTTTGTCGGTCTTTTCTAAGTACGCTAGATTGTCGCACGGGTCTTTCATAATACGGGCATTTGACAGCGCCGGTGGAGGTGCAATATTGACCGCCACATACCTTAGTTCTTTAAGGTCCGGCGCCCGCCAACCACTGCCATCGGAGCTGAGGAACTTCTTGACGTCGTTGTAGAAATTGACCACCCTTTGAGCGCTGTCCTTTGACACGGTGCCGCCGTAGAAGGCGAACTTAGTTACCGGCAAAACCCACGATTTCACAAAGCCACCTAAAGCGTCCGAAACGGCGGCGGTCATTATATCACCGATCCTAGCATCGGGGCTTTCAATTTTGACCGTTTTATATATTTCTTTGAAGTAGACCAGTAACGTCTTTACGTAAGCTTCGTTGACAACGACTCCTGTGTTCATCGGCGGGAGCAGCTTTTGTGCGTATATCCTAGCGTGAATCAGAGCTAGTTCATCTATGCTCCAGTTTGTCCTTGTCCGATCTTTGGCGGTGTAAAGGACGGTTCCGACGTTATTCGGCATATGGTGATACGATAACACTTGGCATATCAACATGGAGCTCAAAACGACGCTGTTACAGTTCATTGCACTTACAAACGTATATACTGAATAGATAAAATTAAAGAGATCCGTTAAAAACGTGAAAAATAATACTCGTCAAAACATTCATGAATTTCTCTCCTTCTGTCACTTTTGATTGGACATTGTGACATGAACAAAATAGATATTATATGAAAATGAAATGTGGTTGTAGTTTTAATTTCTTAGGAAATAAATATTCTATAACAACTTACCTATTTGTGATGTTTATTTTTAGGATGATATGTAATGATTATTTTTTTTTTAGTAGCAGTAATATTCTTTCTTTGCACTCAAGATCAAACTTAAAATGTGAATTTTGGGATTTGAACCTACGTCGTACGTAGCTTGCGTATATTTTTTCTTGAAACTAGCTTTAGAAGTTAAGACGTTGAGATTAAAATTATTTTTTTCATTTATTTATTTTTCTTTGCGCTAACATAAGTTTGGGTGCTAGATTTGCTCGTTGATTCTTTATCGTTGGATTAGTGATTTAACCGATGGAAAAGACTTTCGAAGGTGATTCGGACGTGCATACACTACGAAGACCGCTTCCATCTGTTAACCGATCGCTCGTTTGTCAAGTTATCGAAAAGTATGAAGCCTACTTCCATACAATCGCGCTAGTTCAGTATCCAGTTCTCGAATGATAATCATAGGTGTCATTTGTCGTCGGGATCTCCTCTCATATGTCAGCCCTCAGGTGCGGGGGCGTATAAATCACGCGCGGCGCGTGGGGCGCGTTGCGGCCGTAATTGTTTTAATTAAACTAGTTTCTGAAAGTTACCAATGCATAGATTCCAACTAAAGTGCTTTTATCGCGAACCGGTTTCTGAAAAAAAAAAAAAAAAAAAAAAAAGCGTCAAAGTTACGTGCAAGGCTATGAAGAACCTTTGTACGATATGAGAAATTTATCTAAGAGTTATATACGTGTCTATTTCGTGTTATAATGCCATTATTGTCGTTTTAAATATCATTGTTACGCTCTAACGTATCCAGTAAAGAAGTTTAAATAAGAAACAGTTTTTCACGTGAAAAAGCCTAAGACCGATATTAATCGCTTCAAGATGATGATGGACCTAGGACATCAGATACAATTTCTTATTTCAGTTTGATCCGGATGATACTTCGTAGTCTGTGTGCCCATGTTCAGCAGTATACTCTAACAGGATGAAGTGATGATCATAATGTTAAATTATACTGTTCGTTTGTTGTATTTTTAAGGTGGCAAGCGAGCTAATGTTAAGTAATAACCATTGGTAATAACCATTGACACCCGTAGGGTTGCAGATGCGTTGCCACCTTTTGATAAAATGGGCCCTGGCTACCTCACTTACCAGAAGAAACGCAGAAGTGAAACACTTCTACTTCACGTTGGTATTCTGTGAGGTCGTGGTATGGACGGACCTGCCCATTCGTGCAACAGATCAGTGTTGCGTGGCCCTACCACAGTTAAAATAGTTATCAGGTTAAATTTATATTAATGTTTTCTGCTCCTAACTTCTCAGTACTTTCTAAATTATCTGCTATCCCAAACCATGATTTTTGATGTATACATATAATATAACAGTTGCGTGTTACGAAATTTTGATTATCTTTGAATTCCGACGGTATCGTATAAACGTCGTTTCATTGTTCCAATTAAGGATGCATTAAGCCGTAGAAGTAGTTCGTCGGATTGCGTGACTTGGAACGTCACGGTTCGTGAGGCGCTACGCGCCACCGGCAATTGTCAACAGTGTTATGATGACGGATGACCTGGTGATTATTAAACCGCTTGGAGCTAATTAACGTGGAGTCAGACTGTATACGGGACTGTCTCTGATAATTAACGTTTCGTGTTATTGTAAATTTTAATTTAAGCCAAAGAATGAAGCTTGATGACTATTCGTAACTTATTAAAAATGCTGATCTTTTTTTGTGTTTGATAGATCTTACTTATACTTAATTTATCGCCATCCTTCCTGTAACATTTTTTTTTTACTAAACACTAGCTTTATGTGTTGACTAAGTCCTTACGTTCGTCTCCCTTAGGATTTAAGTCTATTATATATATATATATATATATATATATATATATAAACATTTTGGCTGGGCCGTGGAGACTCATAGCACTGGAGAACCTAACCTCTAAAAGTGTTGCTCATTTCTGTATCCGGTGATGAACTGATGCATTGTGAACCTCCAAAAAGTCATGGGTAACCTCACAGACCAGACAAGATGGAAATGTGTTTGACTTCTACTTCACACTGGTCTTCTATGAGTCAGTGGTACTTCCCCGGATGTATCTGCCAATCATGCGGCAGCGAAAGCTGTCAAAGATTCAAAGGTGGAGCTTCCAAATCGAAAGCAACACTTTCATCCAAGAAGCCGTACCGGTGTGAAATTATAGGGCGTGCGTGACGAACATATTCGCGACTAATTGCTATCCATACGTAAGCCTTGATACGATTCGTCCCGCCACAAGGGTATTGTGTTTCGCTGATCATTAAGGGACGTGTAGGGTTATCACGGATCAAGCGGATGCGAGCTTTGATTGCTTATGCCTTCGGTACGCCATTATATCGTTCAATTTACACGGTGTTATGAATTTGATGTTGCGATCCGTAGTTCAGTTACCACGTTATTAATTAAACTAATAGTTGGGTTCGATTTCCACAGCGGCGACAATCTTTTCGTACTTTTTCTACATATTCTAATAGTTTCTGTTCTTCTGTGCCTCTTTTTGAGCTCGTTGAATCTCGTTTGGTGCGCATGATACCAATTAATTCGGTTTCGTTTATGCTATAATATTTATAGCGCTGTCACGTAATTATGACTTGATGCGTAGTTCGGTATTTGGCTTTTGTTTTTATCTAGTTTAATGATCAGCACGAGTTATGTAATAATGATCGTGAGCAAACAAGCAGGTTGGACGATAGAAGCAAGAACAGTTGTAAATTTTTCGCTTTATAGATAGATAGACGGTATGACGTATGACAAAAGTATTTTACTGACTTTATCAATTGACTCCAAAAAAGGAAGAGATGCCCAATTCGGATGTATTTCTTTTGTGTTTGTTACCTCAGAACTCCGTCATTTATGAACAGATTTTAAAAATTCTTTATCATTAAGTTCAGTTGATCATCCATGAGGTCTCATCATCATTTCATTCCTATTGGACTTCCTTTGGACCTATATGTGCAATAGTATGTTATCTGTAATGTATTACTTTTAAACTATTTTTAATTTATCGGGATTAAGTGATCACACACCGATTAATACTGTCAACGCTCACCGGCATCATAGTCCATGCGGAACCTCGACAGCCCGTAGGTGACATTCATACCCATAGATAACGCGCGCATCAGCACATGGGATTTAATCACACGCTGTAATAGTCTACGGACCGAAAGCAAAAGGATCAGTTGTAGTAAAAACTATTAGTCGGCCTTCTGCAAGTCTGCCATATACATACTTCCTCAAGTCGGTCCGTTCGTTTCAAACTACCTGCCTCTACCACAGTAAGGAAGCTGCGAATGTTAGTTCAGTGATTAAAATCAAACGTCAGTAGAACTACCACTGGATTTTGAATATCTCCCAAAATCATATCAAGCATTTGCTACGCAATCTGATATAACTGTGTCGGACAATAGTTTCATACATTTTTCACTCCTCTGGCGACTGATTAAGGCCTGATCAAGACCCTCACACCGGATTGAGTTATGGAGGTCGGAAGATGGATTTATTACCTTATGCCCTCAGCCTTTCTGGTCCGATTTATATTACTTTATTATTTATTCCCAAGAAGTCTTTAGTAATACCTTAGCGGTTGGATCTTATGAAATGTTTTTTTGACTTTGTAGTTTGTAGTTGTTTATGTTTTTTGATGTCAATCATTGTATCATTGTGTTGTATAGTGTGTAATCATCGTATTATTAAAATAACACAGAACCAAAGTCATTAATATTTAAATGAAAGTTTGTGACAAAATTGTTATATTTCAAATCCTAGGTTAACCGTATAATAAGTGAGAAATAATTTAATAACATTTTGTACATTAGAAAATTATTTGAATACTTATTACAGTAAAAGTGAAAAGTTAAGCCTAGTGCGGATCTCAAGCAATAATTGTACTAAACCATCAGTTAAGTCCACTTTGAGGTCTTATAACGACATATTGAATCGATAAGAATAGGGTAAATTAAAATATCCCTATACTATCTAATAGCCAAAGTAGATCAATTTCTACCTCACGGACGCCTAAATCTATTAATTCTCAAACTCGACAGCAGTGTTCAGGGAAACTTTGCTCAAAAACGAAACGAAGGACATCGCGTGGAATTTCTAAAGCGAAATACGTAAAATGCCTTCTCCGGCGTTGCCGATGTTGGATAAATCTGAAACGGAGCTGATGAAGTCTTCGTTGCAATTATTGGGCATCGATAGTGCGAGCTGTGAGCAAAGCCGACGGGAAGGCAGGGGACAATTTGTGCTCTCCCGCGGGAAATCTTCGGTTATTAGCTGTCAATCATAACCGAACGTGGCGCCCCTTTTACGGGAATCTTCCCGCTGCGATTTGGCATTAGACTTATAGTTGGGGACACGTCGCATTTTATACAATGCCCGTGGAAAATCAGCTGAAGACTGCAGTGCAATGTTAGGTTCCGATAGTTGTATTTGTTGGATGGTTCTGGATAAATTTTAGATACCAGTAATTTTCAAGGATTAAAATTAAAATCAAGATAGCCGCTATTTGAATTTAATCTTTTTACTGATGGAATGGATATCATGAATTTAGCTTTTTTTTGTGTTTTCCTTTTTTGAGAAGGTATCAAGCGAGCAGGCGTTTCAATTGATATTATTGTTGGCGCTGGTAACACTGTATACCGGATATGACGTTATCTACTCGAGCCAAGGGACACATCGCATGGAGCAGCGGCCACTTGAGTTCCGGCTGCGTT